CTATGTCCCTTTTGAAGGATGAACAACACTTTTCCAGTAGCTGCCCCACGGGTCAAGGGACAGTTTGTGGCCACAGCAACACTGGTCCCTGGCAAGGAGCATGGAATGCAGGGAAGGAATTTGTCACAGCAGGGTTCTGTGAGCAAGGATGGGAGGGGAAAGCTATTAAATGGGCAAACCACAGGGTCCGCCCATTAATGCAGATCACGTCCTCATTAGCATATTCCTTCCCCTGTTTCTCTATTCATACCCCTGCACCCACTGGCTCTTGGAACAGCTTCAGAGGATGCATGGGGTCATCCCACTTGAACATTAAATGTGTTGGGCTTTCAGGTGTTACAGCTACTCTCTTATGCCATGTAAGCAAGAATCTTGTCATTTTTCTTCCATTTTGTAGCAACTCAGTTTTAATATCTCCCAGCCTGGAGGTTTATTAAAAGGCCTTGGAAAAAGTCAGGTGAGACGGGTTGCTATTTCACAACCTAGAAAAAAAGAAGTTACCAAGTGATGGCATGTTGTTTCCAGTTATGTCTCTGACCGGTGATCCAGGGGCACAGTCAATTAAGGCCCTTAATTGCCTTTCTCATTTAGCTTTAATAAGATGACTTGCAAGTGGTCAGAATACGCCAATTTGTTAGCATAGGCATTAGCATCATCAATAATAGAGGCTTGTCCATTTAATTTTGTAGTGTTAATTTCAATACATGTTTTCATTTAGAATTAGGGTACAGTTATGTTATATTAGTAAAACCACTTATCATTAAAATGCGGTTACTGAATCTTAACCCAAAAGCACGGTGGAACAGATCGTTATCCAGTTCAAATACATTACTGACACGGTTTATTATATTAAGCTTTGTTAATGTGGTAATCTGTTAAACAGTAACTCTCCAACTCTGAACTAAATGTACTTTTGAGGGCCTTAACTTCCAGCAATATTGTAGTTCTTGCCCTTCATATTTCATTATTGATTACTGAAAGCACTAACACCCTTTGTTAAGATTAATTCTTAATAATGACAGATGGCTTGTTGGAATGTAAATAATGCAATGCCCCTCCAACTTTCCAATCCTATTAGTATAATTCTCTTTCTTAAAAAAAAAAATTCAATTAAATGTTTTCACAACTTCTTGAAAATATCTTTTATAAACGTTCTCATTTGACTGAAATTCCACGAAGAGTTAAAGGCCCCAAGAGGTGGCTATTATATTCCATTCCCCAAATTAAAAATCTATGTCACAAAGACCATACAGTGCAATGATATATTCAAAGCACTGAAAGGAAAAAAAACCTACAACCAAGAATACTCTACCTGGCAAGATTATCATCCAGATAAACTTTGTATTTTATGAGGCTTCTGGAAAAACTCTGTTTTGTGCCAGGAACTGTGAGATGTCCAAAATTTTACTCTGCTTGAAAGCTAATAAACTTGCCTTTTGTGGTTTCATGGATGCTGGCAGAAAACCTGGGACTTCTGGATCACAGGAGAAGGATACAGTTACATTTGAGGCATGTGTGGCCTTTGGGAGATCCCACAAGAGCATTTTTCTTCTTGTGGAAGCCTACTGGGTGGTCCTGAGAAATAAAACATGATCAGTATACCACCTCCCTGATACATTCTGGGGTCTAAGATGTTCCTTCCCCACATGCTGGGTTGTTGCTTCCTGTCTTCCCTCACAAAATTGTCATCACAGTGCCTGTAACTTACCCTTTGTTCTCAGTCACTTCCTAATCACAACTTGACCTCTCATCCACGAAGGTCAGCCATAAAGGGACAAAAGCGTTTTTACAAAACTGAACCATAATTAAGTCTGAATCTCCTAGTTTCCCTTTTGGTTAAACCACCACCCACAGAGTGTGCTAAACAGGCCAGCCTGGGGATGCCATGACAGACAAGAAAGAAGCAACATGGTCAGAAATGGCCAGGGAGGAATTGAATTTTCAAAACAGGTCTATATAACCCCTCGTCCTGTTCATCTTGCTCATTACCTAGGAAGCAGTTGAGAGGGGATGGTCGCTTTTGGGGACAGCCACATTCAGTGAACAAACTGTCTTAAGGTACTGTTATGGATTGAATGTTTGTGTCCCCCCAAATCCATATGGGGGCACCCTGATCCTTAGTGTGATGGTATTTGGTGGTAGGGCCTTTGAAAGGTAATTAAGTTTAGATAAAATCGTGAGGATGGGGCCCCGTGATGGGATTAGTGTCCTTACAAGAGGAGGAAGAGAACAGAGCTCACTGTCCACCGTATGAGGACACAGCAAGAAGGTGGCCACCTGCAAACCTAGAAGAGAGTTCTCACCAGGAACCAAATCAGCCAGCACTTCAATCTGGGACTTCCAGCCTCCACAACTGTGAGAAATAAATATCTGTCGTTTGAGCTACCCAGTCTGTGGTGTTTTGTTATAGCAGCCCAAGCTGACTACTTTTCTTGGTTATCTCATTGATTTCTAGCTTATTTTTAGTATGACCAGAGGACATAGTGTAAATGATTTCAAATCCTTTGAAATTTGTTGACACTTTTTTATGGCCCATTATGTGGTCAATTTTGGAAAATATTCCATGTGACACGGAATGGTTATATTCCATTTGACTTTACTGTGTTATCATTATGAAGTATCCCTCTTTACCCTGTTCACCTTCATCTGATGGCGATAGGACTTCACCAACTTTGTTTTTGCTTAGTTTTTGAACAATGTATCTTTCTCTACCTAGTTACTGTTAAATTTCTGTGTCATTTTATTTATGGTGTCTTCTGTCAGCAGCTTATACTTGTTGTTTTAAGCAAGGCTGGCAATCTGTCTTTTAATTAAAGTATTTAGTTCACACATTTAATATAAATACTGGTATATTTTGGTTTAAATCTGTTATCTTGCTGTTTATTTTTTGTTTGTTATTGTGTCTCTTTTTTCCTCTCTTATTCTTTTGAATTATTTAAGAATGTTTATTATTCTGGTTTCCCCTCTACTAGCTTGTCGGTTATACATTCTTTTATTATTCCTTTAGTGGTTACTCTACAGTTTCGAAAATGTACCTTCGAGCTATTAGAATTTACCATAAGTTGGCACTTTTACCACTTCCTGGTCAATGTAAGGATCTTTGGACTTATGTCATTTATTACACATTCCCATGTTTTGTGTTATTGCTGTCATGTGTTTTAATTCTACATATACTTTAATCCTCAAAAAGGTATTTCTGATATTGCTTTAAACAGCCAATATTGGGAGCGCCTGGGTGGCTCAGTCATTAAGCGTCTGCCTTCGGCTCAGGTCATGATCCCAGGGTCCTAGGATCGAGCCCCACATCGGGCTCCCTACTCGGCAGGAAGCCTGCGTCCCCCTCTCCCTCTCCCCCTGCTTGTGTTCCCTCTCTCTGTCAAAATAAATAAATAAAATCTTTAAAAAAATAAAAATAAAAAATAAACAGCCAATATTTATTTACATTTACCAACGTACTTGCCCTTTCAAGCCCCTTTATTACTTTTGTGCACTCTGAAGTATTCTTTTTTTTTAAATAATTTTTTATTGTTATGTTAATCACCATACATTACATCATTAGTTTTTGATGTAGTGTTCCATGATTCATTGTTTGTGCATAACACCCAGTGCTCCACGCAGAATGTGCCCTCTTCAATACCCATCACCGAGCTAACCCACCCCCCACCCCCCTCCCCTCTAGAACCCTCAGTTTGTTTTTCAGAGTCCATCATCTCTAATGGTTCGTCTCCCCCTCCGACTTACTGCCCTTCATTTCTGAAGTATTCTTTACTGAATCCTTTTAGTATTCTCTACTGCAGGTCCGGTGGATTCTCCCTTTCTGTTCATCTGAGGTCTGGAATTCTAGATTGGTAATAACTGCCAGATAAGGGTGGAGGCACAGGTTCTCCACTCTGCTCTGTTGGACACCTGTGGAGGAATGGGCCTCTTGGTACTGCTGGGAGGGAGCATGGGACCTTCTTACCACCAGATGGGTGGGAAAGGCCAGGCTCCCCATATGTTCTCAGTTGGTAGGGGGTGGAGTCCAGCTTACCACCCAGCAGGGTTGAAGTACCGGCTGTGTGCTCAGCCTTCTCTGACACCATCTGGCACTGGGGGAGCGGGTGGTGAGTGACTCATTACTGCCCAGTAAGGTTGGAAGTTTTGGCTCCCCACTTGACCTCTGCCAGCAGGTTTTATAATGAGCTACAATTTCTCCTGTGGCATTTCACTGAAATAGAGCAGTTATTGTCTATCTTCCTAAGCTGCCCCTTTCCTGATATCTTGTCTAGAGAGAGCATGATTCCTTTGTCTACCCCCATTGGTGTCTCCAGGTTGCCAACTTCTGCAGTACCTGGTCTAGGATTTGGGGGCAAAAAAGAAATTCCAGGGAGCCGACTACCATGCTGTTTCTCAGATCCCAAGTTTCTTGGTCAGTCTGCCTCTTCTCTCCACTTTTCAGTCTTCCTGTGTTATTTTATATGTGATGTCCAGGATTTTTAGTTGTACTTAGTAGAAAGAATAGGGGAAAGTATGTCTACTCCCTCTTCCTGGAAGCAGAAGTCTCAAGATGTGTTAATGAGATTTAACAGGACTATATCTAAGTAGCTATAATGATTTTGATCTGTTAAATTAAACATAAACCATACTTTCGGAGGTATGTATGCATCAAAAAAGGATGATGCAAAACAAAAAAATAACTTCCAGAAGGCGAAACCGTGTTCAAGGAGATTGCACAAAGATAAACTTTATTTTTTGTGTAAAATGGTCCCAGATTCAAGGAGAAAAGCCTTCACCCTTAGGTTTCTTAATCCTCTTGCTAATTAATGGGAGGATTTGGTCATTTCTTATTTTAGAGGAGAAAAAAATCTATATTTTATTTAAAAGTAGCCATAATGCTCTACCTTCCCACTGAAGTTCTCTAGAACCTCTCAAACATCATCTGCTGATGTTTATGCGTACGTAGGAAACACTTAATAATGATCTATTCTCGGATTCTCTTCTAAAGTGAGTTTCTGTTCCAGGTCGCCTGAACTGGTGGTCCACTGTGTGCACGAGCTGTAAACGGCTTCTTCCTTTGGCCACTACAGGGGACGGGAACTGCCTTTTACACGCAGCCTCTCTGGGTAAGCTCTGCAGCAGAGACAGGGTGGCAGCGCCCCAGGCCAGTTCTGCTCATAATGAGTTAAAGGGCAGACATATGCTAAGTAGAGCCATGCACATCACTCATCTGGAAGAGTCCCCAGGGGATGTAGCCAACAATCTAGCCCTTCTGGTCAAGCAGCTGACAGGCTTGGTGGGGACACAGAGCACACATGAGAAAAGACCTGATATAATAGAAGGGGCCTAATCATGAGCGGCAGGGATGGGAATTAGAGATTATAGTGTAGAGGACTTCCTGGAGGAGGTGAGATCTGAAGGACTCGAAAGACTTTAAAAGAAGACATTCCAGGTAGGGAGACTCCATGGAAGGAAGGCAGGAATTAACAGGATCTTTGGAAGCAGGGCTGAGCTTGGTTGGACTTGCGCAGGAAGTTTGGGGAGCAGTACCTTAGGTTGGATGGTGTGGGGCCACCACATTGATAGCAGTCCATGCACTTGGACTGACAAAAAGACATAGTTTTTGAGTCAATCACTTGGGTAAATCATAAGGGAATCACTTGAGTACTGAGAAAAAGACATAGGTTGAGTAGAATTTTAGGAAGAAAAAGCTGAATTCCACACTGTGAACATAGTGAGATCATAATTTCACTGGAAGGATAGGCAAAAGATAATATGCCCAAACGTTAAAAGTGGCCATTGCTGGGTGGTGGGGTTGTTGATTTTTATTGTTGATACAGGGGAATCACCTGGGGACTGACAAAAAGACATAGTTGGCTAAATCAGTTGGGTAAATCACAGGCGAATCAGCATAGTCCAAATATACAGCAGGGAAGTCAGCAACCTTCCGCAGAGATGTGAGCTTCCAGCCTGCAAAAAGCCATACCAGCAGGTGCACAAGCATTTCTGGCACTATTTGAATAACTGAGAGGTCATGGGGGTCATGGTAGACTTTCTGGAAGCTCAATTTACTCCTTCTAGATCCATCCTTCTATACACATAGCCGAATCAGTTTTGACAGACAGGACTGGATTTGTGCCAGGAACCCAGGCCTCAGAGCCAGCTATCTTCATGAGTCTTAGAATAAAGGGTCTCTCTCCACAGATGGGACCCTAAGATAAGAATATTCTTAGTTGGTGAGTGTGACCAAGAATATTCCTTGTTGGTCAAACTCACCTCCCCAGGTAAACACGGTTGGTGCTGGGACCCAGAGCAAGGGCTGGACCCCAAACCTGTCTTCAGCCCTGTAGTGAGGCCTGTTCAGCAAGAGGTGGACAGAGGTGAGACTAAAACCCACAGAGGGAAATGCATGGGGTCTGGGAGGGGGCCTGAGAGCCTCGGGGGAGAATGGAGCCCCAGAGCAAGGGGAACGTTCCGCATTCTGCAGGCGTGGCAATGGGTGGTGGGGAACACAAAGGCTCCCACTTCCCTGCTTGCCTTCCATTTCACAACAAACACATTTCTGTTTGTTGGCATTGCAAAAGTGTTTCACATTCATCATGGTAAGAAAATAAACATCAACAATCCCACCACCCGGGAATGGCCACTTTTAATGTTTTGGCATATTATCTTTTGCCTTTTCTTCCAGTGAAATTATGATCGCACAATGTTCACCGTGTGGAATCCACCATTTTCCCCTTAAAATTCTATTGTGAATTTCTCATGCTATTATTCTTAAAAAACATGTTTTTGGTAGTTGTGTCATATTTCATCATAATGTATAAAGTAGTCCCCTATTGTGGAACATTTTCACCTTGTTGGTGTGTAAAACCTGGAAAGAACATAAAAGAAGAAATCTCTCATCGTTGTCACACATCAGCCTCATACAAAGGGAAATGCCTTTGTCCTTCAGAAACCGCAGTGTGCACCACTACAGGTGGGCAAAGCCAAAATCAGGCCGCATGTCCCCATGGTCTGGTCTGAAGACAGGCATTTTCCCAGTGAGTATAGTGGGGCTCCCGTCTGCCTGAGAAGAGAAAGCATCCTGTGAGCCAGCCTTGCTCCAGCGAGGCCATAGTGGAGTCTGGAGCTCATTGCCAGTGGGTTCTTTTCTCCTGGGACTTTGTTTTGCTTTCATGGGGTTTAGCTGTTTGACCTGACCGATCAAAGGAGCCATGCAACACTCACCAGCAATGCTTCTTGACCTAGGGTTGTGGGACACCCACAGAAATGACAGTAATCGTAGAGCCAGGCTTGTAAGCAAACATTTATGGGGCAAGGAGACCCTTCCTGCAAGAGAGACCCAAACATGGAGCCAGGGGAACTGAGGCTGGACTTACCATGCCTGGGAGAGTCCCGAGAGGCCACTGCAGGCAGGGCTGAGGGTTGAGTAAGATCAGCTTGGCCTGTTTATAAAAGGGCATGAATGGCCACTTCCCTCATCTATGTTGTAAAAAAAGGCAAAAGCCTCACTTGATGGAAAGCCCATAGCAGCCCCTGGTTATTGCATATCTTTGCACGAAAGGATGTGTGGCCAGACTGAGTCTTTAAAGATTAGGTCAGTGCAGGTCACTCATCTTTTAAAAGCTCCCCAGAGGCTCCCAACTCATTTAAAAGTCCACCTTTTCGCTCTCCACCTTGTCCCCTGGAGCCTCCCTCCAGCCACCTTTCCTACTTGCTGTTTCTCTAGTATGACTCGTGGGCGCCCCTTGGGGCTGACCCTCGGCCCTCCCCTCTGCCTGGGCTGGCAACTCAGCTCCCTCCTTCACCCTCTCAAGTCTAGACCCTGTTGTCTCCATTCATGCCATGAGCACTGCCACCCAGCGCCCTGTCCTGCTTTATGTCTCCGGATGGTGCTCTACCCCTGACAGCTATGTCATGTGCTAATTTGGTGGCTGCTTCCTCTTCCCTCAGTGTGCACTCTGTGAGATTTTAGGAACTCAGTCTGTCCTGATTGCTGCTGTGGGTATTTCCAAAACCGAGAATGGTGTCTCACCCCTATTAGGAAATAAGTTTAGAATTAATTAAGTGGAATTAATGCCATTTAATTAAATGATGGATGGATGGATGGATGGATGGATGGATGGATGGATGGTTGGATGGATGGATTCCCCCATTCTTTCCCCATAGCCAGACCTGCACTTCTCATTCCTATTTCTTCCATTTGTTGGGTCTCTTGACCACATCTGAGCTGTCCCACGAATGTACTCAGAGATGGTTGGTGTTCCTTATAACCCCTCAACACTCAGCACAGGCTGGGGAGGGGGTAAGGGAGAAAGACCTCCCTCCAAAACAGGTACTTTCTCTTGGGTCCAGATGTTTGCAGTGGTTCCCACTGATGCTCTGTGTCTCAAGAGGTCGAGATGCCTTAGGGCTGAGACATCAGATGTCTAGGTGAAGCCTAGATGAAGCCAGGGTCTGATTACCATCCTGGCTTGAGGCCCTATGTGAGGACACGTCACCAGCTTATCCACAGAGACTATCTCTCACTCAAATACAAGAGCTGGACAGTGAGCATTAGGTCCCTGAAAGCAAACCTGAGAGATTGAAAGTAGCTGGCCAAGGGTCCCAGAGAGATGCAGCATGTGATCTCACCCACTGTGGTTTCTCTGAGCAAGGGGCATACTCCTTCATTCAGCAGCTTGCTGAATGGGAAATGGGGAAAGAGAACAGAGGGGAATGGCTAGCTAATCGTGAGAACTGAATGGCTGACTGATGCGTCATCTTTGTGTGTGCAGATGTGGGAGGCCGGGCCCGGTAAGTCTGGCGGTTTGAGTGGCCTCCTGGCTTGTCCCCTCCTCACGTCCTGTCTCTCTCCTCTGCTCCTCATGGGCCTCCTGCTGCAGGAATGTGGGGGTTTCACGACCGGGACCTGGTGTTGCGGAAAGCTCTTTACACAATGATGAGGACAGGAGCGGAAAGAGAAGCCCTAAAGCGGAGGTGGAGGTGGCAGCAGACGCAGCAGAACAAGGAGGTTGGTACCCGCTGGTGTGTCCAGAGCCCAAGACCCATACCAAGCGCAGCCATGAGCCACGGGTAGAGTCCAGAGCTGGGCCCCAAGGCCAAGTCCATCTTGTGAGATCCAACAGTGATGGCTGCTGGGACTAGGAAAGCCTCCCTCGTTTAAACCAACTGAAGAGGTGCCCATTACAAAAGCTCAGCCCCTGGCACACAGTGACTTTATGTCTACTCACACTGCCTGCCCTTGTATAATTATGAAAACCAACCACCTTCCCTGTCAAAAGGCGTCCTGGCTTGAGGACGAATTATACAGTCCCCTATGTGTGGTCACTAACTGGTGGTGACTTGAAGGCCGGGTGTAGCCGCAAGGTGGTTTTGGCACAGCCTGCAGCCCCCACTCCCGTGTATGTTCTCAGTCCAAAGAGAATCCCGCCATCCTGACGATGGGGGACGTTATCACTGTGCTGTCCTACAAGGATCTGCCTGCTTTCTGATTGAAGTTGGCCCGTCATCTCTAAACTTCTCAGTGCTCAGCCCCGAGTTTGGTGTATGCAGATTAGTGTCTGGTCATTCACACCCCCCTATCAGGACCCTTGCTGCTGGGTGGACCCCTCCCCACAGCATTGAAATTGGAGATTGGGGGTTCTGAAGAAATGTTGTTGAGAGCAAACGGGGAGAGTCAGCGGCTACTAGCAGGTGTGCCCAGCCTGGGTGCTGGTCGGGCTTGCACTGAGCTGGGGAGTCGGGGGTCCGGCAGGGCTGCCAGGCTCACCTGCACGGGGTGGGCAAGGAGGCCCGGCCACCACCTGCTGAGCCGGCTTCCATTGTGCCAGTCAGGGCTGCTGTACACCGAGGAGGAATGGGAGCGGGAGTGGACGGAGCTGCTGAAATTGGCGTCCAGCGAGCCACGCACGCACTTCAGCAAGAACGGTGGCACAGGCGGGGGGTAAGTGCAGCCCCTCACCCTCCCCGGTGCTCACCTTAAGCTCCTGGCCACCTAGCACGGGAGATACAAAGGTTCCCACCTTCAGACATTAGATTCTCCTCAGCGACACAGGGCAGAGTTGGGCATGGCTGGACCCCCGCCAGATATTTGGGGGAAATTTTACACAGCTTGCACGTGCATTTTGCAGGTAGAGGGACGGAGGTTGCAAGTGCCGCCCCCCCCCCATTGCAGGCTGCTGTGGGAAGGGGACTCGCTGGACGGTCAGCCTTTGTAGGGGGCATGCGACATGGTAGGCCCTGCACACTGCTGTTGCACTCACCAGGCTCAGAAGCCTCAAGCTGCCGGGTTTGGACTTTTTCCAAGTATCCATTTAATTTCTGGCTTCAAGAAGTCACGCTGAGAGCAAAAGGTCATTAAGTGAGCACAGCGGCTCCCAGGTGAGCGCCACAGGTGCCCTGCGCCTTCCTGTCCATGTGCAGGGAGTGGCTTGTTCCTGCAGACACAACTGAAATGTCCCAGCATGAGAATAAAGTGTGTGGCCCAACAAGGCAGCCACCAAACCTGTAGCCCTAGCAGTTGAAAGGCACATGTGTGCTTTCGTTCATACTTATGGAAGCCGAGAGCCAAGTTGTCACCCCATAGAAAAAGTCTCAGGCAAACATAAGAAAGCCTAAGCACTGACACTGAGAAGATCCCAGAAGGGATCAGACCCCACTGGAGAGCCCAAGTTGGCAGTATGTCCTGGCCCCATAACTCCGCCTTGGGGGTCCTCAGCCACCAGCAGCCAGGTGTGGGGGCTTCCCAGGCTGGGCACTATATCAAGGACCCTCAAAGACGAGCCCTCTGGTACAGAAACCCATCAACACAATTCCCACAGGGTGGTTTTGTCACTTTATTTTAACAATGTCACATGTCCGCACCAAAGTCTATTTTATTTAGGGCATGGGGACAACAATGACATATTCTGAAGACTCAGTCCATTCCTGAAAACTCCACACTCTGCTTTTCCATGCTGAGTCATGCCTGAGATGTGTCTGAAGAATTCCTTAGCATCCCTTTCATCGTTGCCTCTCTGCCACCCTTCACAGGGAAGACACTCCGTAGATGCACATGGACTGACTCTAGCCCAGTGTGTCTTTGGGGGGTGAGGGGGTGGGGGGTGGGGGATAAAATAATAATAATACGTGGCCATCACCATGTACTGTGTCCCCTGAGTCCTCCCATCCAGGAGGCACTTGGCCCGTGGTCACACAGCTGATCAGGCCTCAGCTTCCGCTCCTGCTCCCTGGAACCCAGGAGGGCCCAGAGCTGAGTGGGGGTGGAAGGAGTGGGGCGTCTGGTGTTCATGCCCGTCTCCCTCCCATGGGACCCAGGTTTGCCAACTCGGTTGGGGCAGGACCACTGCAGAGAGGCCTCCTTGGTGATGGGCAGCAGCTCTGTTGTTCTCTGTTGTTCCCTTAAGCTTTGGGGAAACGGGGGAGAGACAGAAGGCATTGGCACAGCTACTCACTCTCCCCAGCTCACAAGAAGAGTGCCCTGGTGTTGCTGAGCCCTGCCAACCCAACTGCAGTGATCACACACCTCCAAATGTCCTGCCTCCTCTCAGGATCCCTTGGGGTTTTTTTTAGTCCCCTCCACTACAACTTGGACCAGAAGGTTTGAGGAGCAGACAAGCATCACATGAGCTACCAGCATCTCTTCCGTCAGGGAAGGTGTTGGAAAGGGGTGGAACACTCAATGCAGGTGGAGACTCTGACACCTGCCAGGACCTTGGGAATACCCCCATTTGCTATCCATTTGCACAGACCACAACAAGGATATGCTCTTCAAGATGGTGTCCAAGTCCTCATGGCTAGTTTCTCCTGAATTTTTCATGGTTCCAAGAGCTCAAATCCTGCCCCCATGTCCCCTCCCATGCCAGAGCTCAGAGTTGTCTGTCCTGATGTCTGTAGCCCACAGGGCCGTGTTTAGGCTCTGATTGGTCACCTGGATCCCACAACAGCAGGTAAATCCCAAAAGGAGGCAAGGAGCTGCTAGAAACAAGGCCGTTTTGGTTCTGACATGTTACTTTTGTAAACGTGTGTGTGCTATGCATGAGACACCAGCATTTAGTCTTTGTACATTTCCCTTCATTCTGGATTGCTCTCATACAGTCAAGCTAGCAGAGGATACCAGTATGTTTCTTCCCTTCAGGAAGGGCTCCCCTGCCATGGGGGTCCCACCTTCCCTTGGGGTTCAGAAATCCAAAAGAGAGACATTTTTTCAGTGAGTTATCAGTACCTCTGCATTTTGCCTCTGTCTTCCCTGGGCAAAGGGAAGAGGTTTCCCTCCTCACGTTTTGCTGAGAGATATGAGGCATCCCTGGGGCTTGAGGGCCTTAGAGACTGGTACCTGAGGTCTGCCCCAAGGCTCCGAAGGCTGAGGCTGGCCAGCTCCCAGGTCCTCAGAGCCATGGGGCGTTATGGGGTCCTAGGGGCAATGCTTGCTTCCCGAGGACCAGGAGTGAACCCTGGGACGAGGCCTGAGATGGGCTGTCTTCAGGAGGAGGACTCTGCCGACAACAAGGGTAAACCCCAGAAGTCAGGCCAGAAGCGTGGTCACAAGCCACCCAGCTTGGGGTGCCACCACCTCTGTCCAGGGAACTGAGGGCAGAGACAGCTGTGGGAAGGTCTGAAGACCCCCAAAAGCACTTCCATAGAAACGGGGTCAGCATTTGGACCTCCGCCAAGCCCAGTGGGCACCCAAAAGAAGAGTCAAGAAGGACTTTGTGCCAACCCTGTGGGGAGCCACAGACAGCAGCCAGAGAGTGAGGAGGCAGGGACATGAGAAACAGAGGCATGGCTGGGGCCTGGTAGCCCTTGGAACAGAAGAGAAGTGACACACAGATTTTCCAGATTTCATCATGGGGTTAGGAGAGAGCTAGTCAAGAGAGAATGAGTTTGCAAGTATGATGGTAACGAAGACTAACGTGGCTTTCTTTGTGTTCCCTCCCACACCTGGCTCATTTGGAAACCTGGTTCCCAGAGATGAGGGATGAGTGTAGCAGCTCCGACAGCACTGGCCCTTCCCTCTGTCCTGCTCCCTGCCCAGCTCCTGGCCCCTGGTACTGGCACAGATGGGGACAGACCCCATTCTGCTGCTCCCTGGCATGGACATTGGCCTGGTGTCATTTTGTAAACCCATTACTTTCCCAGACACTATGAGGTTAAGTATCTGGAGAAGTTGAAAGGGCAGACTCAAGGATGAGCTTGGCCCTCTTTCTTTCTTCTTCCTCTACAACTCACAGCGGCCGGCCCCCAGGCTCACTGGCAGAATCCCGGCAAGAAACCCTGGAGGCAGAGATGCATGTCCACTGCTCGCCCAAGGAGATGGGTGTAGACCAGGTTGGCATCCAGGCAGGGCAGGCTACCACTTGCTGTTTAGGACAGGCTGCTTAGGGCTGATGCCCCAAAGTACATGATCACAGAGCAGGGCACCCTGGAAGCCCCCAGGAAGGAAAGGTGGGTATGGGCTTCCTGTTGTACTCCAGATACACGAGAAAGACAGACAACAGCACCCACAGACATCGACATGGCAAGCACAATGAAGAGCCGAGACCCAGGCAGAGGCAGGTGCTTCTGAACAGGGCACAAGTGCAGGACAATTTCCCTCTGATGCTTGCAAATCAAAATGTACCCATTTCCCCATGGACAAAATAAGAGAAATAGGATGTTCTGTGCTGGTGCTGCCACTGCTACTGCTTTTCCAGAGACCTGCTGAGATACCACATGTGAAATGCATCCTTCCAGAAGGGCTGCTGCTGGGGTTTTGATAGCCCTGTCTGACCATCACCATCCTTGCCATCCTGCAGGTGCTCGAGCCCATGTGGGGAGCAGGGGGAGAGGGATGCTCCCCAGCAGGAAGACAGGGAGGAAATAAGGAAACACCATCACCCTAAGTCTGGTTGCTCATCCTCTGCTTGCCTGTGCAGCCCCAGGCCCTACACACTCTGGGAAAAGAGGGTGTGCAATCAGAAGAACCTAGTTACTTGTTCCGAAAGTGATAAAAAAAAATCTCTGACAGCAATTAGTTAGTGAAGGCCTCTGGGCACTTCATTTAGTTTCAGGGCAACCGTGAAAGGAGAGCAAGTAAGAGGGCCTTGCCTGGTGGACCCTGACCAGAGACCCAGACTTAAATACACTGTGTTATAGTCCCAAGCTGGGCATGTGATGTTGGGCATATCTCACAAGCTCTCTGAGCCTCAGTTTTGCTCATCCGTAAAATGCATTTGGTAGTAACCTCCCTGCCAGGCAGCATCCACCGGGTTTGCTCATGTTCTGGAGGTCACTGGAATTGCGTGGTGCCACTTGAGGAGTTGCAGTCATCTGGCAGTTGGTCTCAGTGGGGCTAGATAGTCCAAGATAGTCTCATATCACAGTTCTGAGGCTGAGAACTAGCTCTCCCTGGGCCTCTGTCCACATGGATTTTTATCTTTGAGGAGGTCCAGGCTCCTTACAATACAGTCTCAGTGCTGGAAGAGAGGACAGCCCCTGATTTGCTGGGGCTTCTCAAGCCTCTGATTGCACCCCTTTACTAATGTCCCATTGGCCAAAACAAATCACATGGTCAAGCCGACCTCAAGGCAAAGAGCTAGACTCCACCCTTGATGGAAGGAGGGGCAAAGTCACGTTGCAAAGGGACAAGTACACAGGAGTGGAAGGATCTGTAGCCATTGAAGCAGTCTGCTACATACTCAGATGTTACTGGTATGGAGTATGGAGTGGTAAAATCACAAATTTGAAGGTGTTTGGAAAGGGGTACTTTTACAACAGTAAAAATAACATTTATTAAGACATTGTCACACTTCTTCTGCAAGTTGGCATGCCTGCTGCCTATAGGGTGTGTTGTAAAGGCCCATCCCAGACATCTGAAATGTGTTCCTTCTCCCAGACTTCCCACTGACTCATCTCCATGCCTGGTATTCCACCCTTAGCAATTAATTTCCTTGGGTCTTGAGGGCT